AAGAGGGGCAAGGGAAGTGAGAGCATTAGGACAAATACCAAATGCATGCAGGGCTTAAAACCTAGATGACGGGTTGATAGGTGCAGCAAACCACCATGGCACATGTATACCTATGTAACAAAACTGCATGTTCAGCACATGTATCCCAGAACTTAAAGGAAAAAAAAATTAAAATAGTGTCACAGAGCTTGGCTGAATTGTGCCTGTATTGTAGTGTTTTGCAGAAGGTAGAGCTGTGAGCACTGAAGTTATCTATTTGGATAAGGAAATTTCTAAGCAAAGTGTGAAAGTTGTGGCTTGGCTTCTCTTGACAGCCTACATTAAAATGTGAAAGTGGAGAAAAGATTTAAAGACAAAATTGTTAAGCAAAGGGAAGCAGCACTTAAAGATTTGGAAAAGTCTCACCCTAGACATATTATAAAAAATGAGATATCAGATACAGTGATTCATGCCTGTAGCCCTATTAGAGAAACTGAGGCAGGAGGATCCCTTAAGCCCAGGAATTTGAGACTAGCCTGAGAAAGGTAGTGAGAGTCCATCCCTTAAAAAAAAAAAAAAAATGAGAAGGCACCTTGGGAGAGAACACCAAGGGTGTGGCCAAATAACCATCTGATAAGGAGATTAGTTAACCAAGTGGAACCTATTGCTTAAGGTGGTGCAGAAGTAATTGGGGCTGCCACCTTCATCACAGCTCCAATGTGCAAAAGCTTGAGCAAGCAAGCGTGAGACCCCAGAGACAGCCCTCGCTGGAGCAACATCCAGGATGGCTGAGAGGTAGGACCACTCCAGCAACCCCAGGCTGTAGAGCCACAGACACAATTCTAGCTCGGGGAGCCACAAAGGCACAGAGCAGCCTTTGGAGAGGGCCACCACCCCCGTGGGTTGGGAAGGCAGGACCACAGCCCCAGTGAGCCTGGAGGACAGAACATTGAGCCAAAGATTATTCTCAAGACAAAATTTTGGACTTTGCTTGGGACCTATCCTTTCTTCTTTTCTGTTTCTCTCTTTTGAAATGGAAATGTCTTTTCTGTGCCTGTACCTCCATTGTATTTTGGAAGTCTTTAACTTGTTTAATTTCACAGGTTCACAGCTGGAGGGGAAATTGCCTCAGAATGAATCATACCTTGCGTCTTACCCATATATAATGTAGGTGCTATTTAAATGAGACTTTGGACTACAGACTTCGAGTAGATACTGGAATGAGTTAAGACTTTTGGAACCACTGGAATGAACTGAATGCATTTTGCATGTGAGAAGAACATGAAATTTTGGGAGGCTAGGGGTAGAATGTTATGGTCTGAGTGTTTGTGTCTCTCCCAAATTTATATGTTGAAATCCTAACCCCCACCCACTTAAGTTGATGGTATCAGGAGATAGAGCCTTTTGGGGTGATTAGGTTGTGACTGTGGAGGTCTCGTAAATGAGACTCGTGCCCTTATGAAAGAGACATTAGAGGGACTCCTTCCTCCTTCTGCTTTGTGAGCTTAGAGTAAAAAGGCTGTGAGGAAGCAGCCCTTACCAGACACTGAATCTGCTGGTGCCTTGATCTGAGACGTCCCAGCCTCTGAAACTGTGAGAAATACATTTCTGTTGTTTGTACGCCACCCAGCCTGTGGTATTCCATTGTAGCAGCCTGACCAGACTAAGATACCCTTGGATGAAGAGCAACGGGGGTAACATGTGGAAAAAAAAAAAAAAAAAAAAAACTGCTCCAATACCAAGGGTATGCTAGATGGCATTTAAACTTATGCTTGGTAGTTGCTTCTCATCATTCTTAGTTAATCATAAAGCATTCTACTTTTGTGGATTTTAAGTCCCTAGGAAATGATGCTGAAAAAAACAACAGCTTTGTGAGACCATCAGCAGCTGTAACATTGACATCTCTGCTTTCAAATGGGTTACAAAATTAAACAAGTGTCATCCAAAGGACCACCAGGGTGGCTAGATAACAGAAAAGAGAGTTTCATTGGCAATACTGGTTTACAAACTGGAAGAGAGAGTCTCCAGTGTGAACTGAGAATGCTATCTCTGAAGAACAGAGAAGGTTTGAGGTTTTATAAAATGGAGAAATGTTGCATATTGCTCTTTGAGAAGTTTCATTGGCACCTATAAGGTTTTGAGGAGCAAGCTCCAATTGGTACGTGGCAGTGGTACACAAACTCAGTCTGAGAGTCGCCATAGGTCGTCTCAGTAGTCATTAGACAAAACTGGTTTTGGGTTACTGCACCAGTGTCAGCTGCCAGGCCTGCGGAGAATTACAGTTTTTTACAGCAGTGCTCTTTACCCTGAGGGCTTTCTACCCTGGCTTATTGACTCTGTCTTCGTTGGGTATGACAAGAATGACTCAGTTCATATGAACAACTTTCACACAATAAAGCTTCATTTATTTATTTATTTAAATTGAGACAGAGTCTTGTCGTCGAGGCTGGAATGTAGTGATGCATCATCGAGGCTCACTGCAGCCTCAACCTCCCAGGCTCAAATGTGATCCTCCCACCTCAGCCTCTCAAATAGCTGGGACCACTGGCACATGCCACCATGCCCAACTAATTTATTTAGTTTTTGTATAGACAGATCTCAGTATGTTGACTAGGGTGATCTTGAACTCTTGGCCTCAAACAATCCTCTCACCTCAGTCTCCCAAAGTGCTGGGGTTACAGGTATGAGCCACCATGCACAGCGCAAAGCTTCATTTTAAGTCTCTTTTATTTACTTTTATTGATCCTAGTCATAACACATTGTAAGTATACTCTGCTAGAGAATTAGATAGCATGTCGTTTTTTAAGTGTCTTTTCTAATTAACCTGTCATGTAGTTTAGTAAGAAAATATTAAAGGAGAATCTTGCCCGACAGATAGCCAGTACTGAATAAGAAGCCCATTTTGTTTGTGTCCGGAGGGATGAGACACTGTTAATAGTGAGGATAAGTTTATTTTAGCTTTGGTAAGAGGAGAACAAATCCACTTTTTCACAAGAGCTGCTTTCCCATTGCTTTTTGCCCCCTTCATCCCAACACCCGCAACCAAGGCAGTGTCAGTAAGTTTTGGGATGAAAAAGCCTTAGGTAGGCTTCTTATGGTTTTGAAACGTGACTGCTTGGAATTGGGGGAAAGCTGTACTAAAATTATGAAGCTGAGTGGTTATTAACCATATCCAGTAGTGGGTCATGTTCCTGTGCCGCCTTTATTTGCCCACAGTAACCTAGCAAGACATAAAATCACAGTGCGCAGTAGATGGCACCATCGAATGAGCCCTATTGTCTGCAGGAATCTGGGATGATAAGGAGATTATTACCTCATTTATTTTTGTAAGGAACTGTGTAATTATGATGATTCGAAAAAAAGAAAGAAAGATGAAAGAAAGGAAAGGGAGGAAGGAAGGGAGGGAGGGAAGGGAGGGAGGGAGGGAGGAAGGAAGGAAGGAAGGAAGGAAGGAAGGAAGGAAGAGAGAGAGAAAGAGAAAAAGAAAGAAAGAAAAAGAAAGAAAGAAAGAAAGAAAGAAAGAAAGAAAGAAAGAAAAAGAAAGAAAGAAAGAAAGTAAGTTAGAAAGAAAGGAAGAAAGGAAGGAAGGAAGGAAGAAAGGAAGAAAGGAGAGAAAGAAAGCAGACAGGCCCTGGTTTGACTGTTTCCTATGCTATTCTACTATAGCATTTAATATCTTACTGCAAATTTGGCTAAGTTATAACTTAAAAATGTTAAGTTTTTATTAGCACTTTGACAAACGTAGACTTCTACAGCAGAAGGTAGTGGATTAAAAGCTGGGCTGTCAACCAGGTGCTCACCAGCTTAATGACAATGGAGAAATGTAATATAAAGAATTTGAAAAAATTTATGCAACATGCATGTTTCTTTTGAAATTTCAGTTTTCGAAAGCAAGGCTTGATGAGATGATCTTCATTTGTGAGAGTATGCAGAGGGCGGTGTGAAAAGATATGGCAGGGATCCATAGTTTAAAAATGGATTAAAAACAGTTCTACAATATGAAAAAATAAGGACAAAAAGTCATAATTTAAATTCTCAAGCTAAGTTCAACAGTGGTAAGGAAAAGAAAACATATAGAAATGGAACAACAGGGATCCATTAGAGTTGGATATCATTAGTTTACTAGTTTGAGGAGGAAAGTGAATAATTCTATGTGTTTTAAAATCATAGAGAATGAACCTTGAAAATGTTTAATGCTTAGAAAAGAAAGTATTCATAATAGAAAGTTCTAACTTGGCCAAATTTCTTACTTTAAAGTTAGAAAATTAGATTTTTTGATTGTATAATTTGGATCACAAAATCAATAAGCAGGTAGATAAAAAGGAAAAACTACATATTAAGCCAGAATCATCTAATAAAAACAGTTTCTTATATATAAAAGACTGTATGCTAACTCCTAGACCCCAAGGGAGAAACTGAGACTACAGTCAGGCGTCACTTAACAACAGGGATATGTTCTGAGAAATGCACCCTTAGGTATTACTGTCATTGTGTGAACAACAGAGTGTACTTAAACAAAGCTGAATATCATAGCATATTGTTCTAGGTTACCAACTTATCTGTCATGTTATCGTACTGAATACTGTAAGCAAGTGTAACACATGGTATTTGTGTATCTAAATATATCCAAACCTGGAAAAGATACAGTAAAACTATAGTATGAAAGATTTTAAAAAATGGGACACCTGTACAGGACACTTAGCATGAATGGGGCTTGCAGGAATTGAAGTTGCTCTGGGTGAGTCAGTGAGTAAGTGGTGAGTGAATGTGAAGGCCTGGGGCATTACTGTTCACTACTGCAGACTTTCTAGACACTGGACACTTAGGCTAAGTTCAAATTTTTAAAATTGTTTTCTTTCTTCAATAGTAAATTAATCTTAGCTGTCTGTAACTTATAAACTTTTTGATGTTTTTAATTTTGATTCTTTCGTGATAACATTTAACTTAAAACATGATCATATTATATAAAAACATTTCCTTTATATTCTTATTTGGTAAGCTTTATTTTTTACATTTTCAGATTTTTTTTTAAGTTTTTAATTTTATTTTGTTAAAAGCTAAGACACAAACACACACATGAGCCTAGGCCGACACAGGGTCAGGATCTTCACCTCCACACCTGTCCTACTGGAAGGTCTTCAGGGGCAGTAACGCATGGAGCTGTCATTTTCCATGATGACAATGCCTTCTTCTGAATTCCTCCTGAAGGACTTTTCCGGAAGCTGATTAACATTTGACATTATTTTTATTTTAAATATTTTTTATTTAAAAAAAAATGTTAAATGCAAACCAGCTTCAGGCAAGTCCTGCAGAAGGAATACAATCTAAAATAATGATAAAAACTAGTAAAAAATAGTAAATATATAAACCAGCAACAGTCATTTATTATCAATATATATACATACACTATAACCGTATGTGCTATACTTTCATGCAAATAGCAGCGCAGAGGGTTTGTTTACACCAGCATCACCACAGACACTTGAGTAATGCATTGCCTTATGATGTTACCATGGCTACGACATTGCTAGGTGATAGGAGTTTCTCAGGTCCAATCTGTCATATCTGTGGTCCATTGTTGGCTGAAATGTCATTATGTGATACATTGACTCTACTGCCGGCAAGCTCCTATTTAAGTAAACAAAAACAATAAACACAAACATGAGAAGTACAGGAGAAAGCCCAAGGAGATAAGAGAATCCTCCTACGTAAAGGAAGCTACATCAGAGCAAGGGGCCAGTTCTCACCTGGAAGACACAGTACTGCACACTTCAGCCAGATGAGTGTCGTTTGAACACTCACCACCCAGGCACTGTGTGTATGACCCCTGGGAATGGCCTCTGCAAGAAGCTAGTGGGTTGTTAGAAGCTTTAGGGGGGTTATTTTTAAGTTTCTGCTAATAAGCTCTATTTCGAGCTGAAAATTTGTGTAGTGCGTAGGGCTAGAAGGCAATATTAGAGATTGTATGGCCCATTCTGTTATACTCTTCTCACCAGTGACTCAGAGGACCTGGCTAGGCTGTCTTTGACCTGTTTCTAATAGTGAAGAATTGGAAACACTCTAAATGTCCTTCCACTGGGGGGATGATTTACGTAAGTTATGGTGCTTGTATAGAGTAGAATATTGCATTTAAAGAACAGGGAGTTTTTCATGATTCAAAATGGAGTCATCTCCATCATATAGTGTTCAAAGAAAACTCCTTACAGTAACTTCTGGAGAGAACTAGAATTGAAGAAGACATGGGTAGTCAAGGGGACATTTGCTGCATCAGTGCAGTTTGAAATTTGTATAATGAAAATGTACTTATGTATTGAGTAATTTATAATCATAATGTACAATTTTGATTTCAACTTTTACCTGACATTCATGTTCATGTCTTTAGAATATAACTCATTCTATGGGTTATTGGACATCCTATCTTACTTAGCTGGTCATATCTCTGCAATTAGATATTTATTTATAAATAGGGATTCCATCAGAGTTACCATTTAAATTAAACAGGAAGATAAGTATTTTATTGGAATTTAGTTTGTGCTTATATCACTGATGTTAATTTTTGCCACAGGAACTCTACTTTTCAAGGTCACCACTAATTTGGTATGTTTCATGTTTCTTTGTCACAATTTAGAGACATTTCTCTATCTTCTTCCTTGATGACCTTACTGTTTACCATAGAAGTTCATCTATGTGTCTCCAAACTCCATTTCAAGAATATGAAAGGCAGGTAGCTTATGCGCACATTCTCTGGCCCTTGATAGATGTTTTGCTGACCCACCTCCTAATATCTGTAGAGTTACCCCAGGCTCTACCTTCCAACAGCCAGTTCTGTGTGTGAGAGGCACAGTCCTTTGTTAAACTAAACATGTTTTTGCTCTCTCCTGTCCTCTCATTTCAGTCTCACTATCTTAGAATCAGCTTCATGGAACCACAGGAAAGACATCGTTGTTCTTCTTTTGCAGGTAGCCAGTAACACCACCCTCTCACTGAGAGCCCCTAAGAAATAATATTAGGACTTGAGTTGACTTTTGATGCATCAGTATTCTTTGCATCATATAGTATACCTGGAGTGGTAGAGTGCAAAGTCTGTGGACTCAACTTGCTATTTGCATGACTTTGAGCAGGTTGTCTAAACTCTCAAAAACTCAGTCTTTTTATTTATAGAATGGAAATAGCAAGTCTAGGATTTGAAAATTGTTAAGAAGGTTCACAATTCTGCATACACTACCGCTTATACATATATGGCAAGCAGCAAGATGTGGCTGTTTTTCTTGGGTGTTTTCAGCCCATTTTCCTCCTTTCCAGAACCTATCTCCTCAAACTGATGGATGCATGATGAGTTTCCCTTGCCTAAGTTATTATTATTATTATTATTTGAGATGGAGCTTAGCTCTTGTTGCCCAGGCTGGAGTGCAATGGCACGATCTCGGCTCACTGCAACCTCTGCCTCCTGGGTTCAAGTGATTCTCCTGTCTCAGCCTCCCAAGTAGCTGGAATTACTTGCATCTGCCACTATGCCCTGGGTTAGTCTTTCTAATTGTTCTTTCACTGTGCTGCCATTTTTAGTGGAAACTTCATTGCAAAAAGTGCAAGGTTCTGATCTGTGGCACTTGAACTGCTTGCTGGCTCCTCTAACTTTTAAGTGTGGTGTATTAATTTAGTCCCTCTCTCAGATGTCCACTGTCAGGTAATGAATTGATGCAGTGTTCCAACTAGGAATGCCATTGCCTCTCTGTCTTGGCTTGTTAACAAGAAACCATTCATGAATGAGTAGAAACAACAATAAGTGTTTAGAAAAGTATTAATGATTGAGGCAGTAAAAAGTGATCCCAAGAAAACCCTAGACCACTTGCACCTGCCATAACTTGTTACCTCTGTGACCTCTGACCATCTGTGCCTCTTTGGTCACGTGTATTGACTCTAGACCACTTTCAGTCTGTCAGCATTTCTCTTCAGTCTATTTAGAGCTTCCTTGAACCTTCTTTCTCTGTCAAACTTCCTTTTATAACATAAGCAAAATAAGAGAAGATGTACATTCCTTATCGTGTGCATGGCAAGGACAGAAAGGAGGAACAGAGTTTATCCATGAAAAGTGTTGCTGTCAAAAGGGAATTATGAAATCCTGTTGTATGCAAGGTATCTCAAAGTTAGCTTTTTTTTGAAAATATGAAACAAAAAATTATTTCAAGCAAAGTGCAAAATGAAAATCTCAGAGAAAGTCAACCTGACCTGAAGCTTATTCATCACTGCACAATGAGTTTCACCACACAATTGAGTTTCTGGCCCATGTGACACTGAAGTCACTAACAGCACTAGTGTTACTCTTCACTGTAGATTGGACAGTGCTGTGTTTGGGGATTCTGGAGAAATTAAAGTAGGAGAGGATGTGGTCTGCTCTCTAGGGCCACAGAGTCCAGTGAGAAAGATACAATTAATAAGCTGAACTCCAGGATTGCAAAGGAAATTCTGTTTTACAGAAGGGGAAGCATTGGGACTGATTTCAATATTTCTGTTGTGGCGTGGCTCTTTTGCAGCTTCTTCTTCTTCTTCACATGTATCAAGCTAACTTAATGAAGAATGTATACATTCTTCCATATCATACTAAATAATGCAAATAAGTGATACTGTTACAGGCTTGGGGTCACAACATGGGGCCATGGTAAGCTGCACCCTTCTCAAAAGCATCTGGTGTATGTGAAGAAGTTGCGTATCAGTGACTCGCTCTGATGTACTCAATAGGAGCCCACAAGATTCTCTGTCTTGGACTCATTAAGGAGCATTTAAATACCAGAAAAATCTAGCAAGGCATAGCCCCTGACTGGGTATTAGCCAGCATAATATCAGGGTTGTTGTAGTTAGAGTATCCAGATGGGAAGGCAAATTTTGTAGGGGACTGTCATCAATACAACCCCCCCATTATACGTATACTCAGACACGCCACACGTGTGCAGTTCATAACAGAAAACCCAGCATTTGTGGAGTAGGAGGCTAGAATTCAAGAACATTAGTGAGTGAGAGCTTTGTCTCAGGATCATAACTAATTTTGAGGTCAGTTTTTTCAGCAGTCTTTGTTATGTTCAATCTTTTAGGTCTAAAAATTATGTGATGGCAGGCCTTAGAAAAATGTAACCCAAGTGAGCCAGATCTATTAACATTTTGCTAAATTCTTTGTGGTTTGTAATGGAGTTAAATATAATCATAAGATTAAAAAATATGAGTTTTGCTTCATGATTTATCTGAAGGTTCAATTGACTGAACTTGAGTAAATTATTCACCACTTCATTAAAATTCAGTAGGACTGAAAGTTTCCGTCGGATGCATTAAGCTGTCTATAGCTAATGAAACACTGCATAGTTGGTGCAGAGGGTGGTTTACTCAATATGGCCTGTGTTAAGTGTATGGAATGCAAATGATATGTAAATTTTATATTTTACTTTCCATTAACAAAAAATTATTTATGTACACATCAGAGGAGGAAAATTACTTTCAGTAAGGATCTGCGCAGTGCTGATTCTTAATCTCTTAGTGGGAATATATAATATTTTTACAGTACTAGCATAAAAATGTCATTACTGCAGAGAGAGGTCTTAGAGTCTTATAATGATTATCTTTATTGCTTGGAGATAACATTTTAGTAAATGAGATTTAGTTAACATTCTAATGAAAAGAGCTAATTTGAGAGAAAATTCCTAAGCTAAAATATTTTTAAACAACAAGTTTGTTTACTTTTCTTTCTCTCCTAGAACCTAAATCATGTAAATTATTGGAACAGATGGTACTGAAGATTTGAGCTGTGTGTTATACTTTTAGTAAAGCTAATTTATAAAAAGGCTACCAAAAAAAGTAATATAATAGACTTAAAGGGCTTCGTGGAGTCCAACTGACTCAGCTGATCTTGTTTTCTTGACAAAATCAGTGTCAAAGCTAAATTCATCCATTGCAGCTTCTGCTTGACCCTCTGGTCCTGTGAGCACTATTATTAACATCTCCTTTCAGTCACAAGCTAGTAACTACATTTGTGAATGGCTCTCCCGTTGGCTTTTTTATGGTTAAATACATTTCCATTTTCAGACTTTATTTCCAGATCTCTGCAAGCTTCAAAACAGCCCTACTTGGTGCCTAGCTGAAGTTGTGGCTCCCATTAATTCAGGTGATTCTGTGATATCAGCTGCTTTCCTCAGAACAAGTCTCATTCTTCTTTCATGCTTTTTTTTTTTTCTCAAAATGAAACATTCAAAGGCTCCCGATTCCATATGTTGCATGAACATTATTTGGCACCATCCTTCATGTTATTCTCAAGACACTCTCCAACTTGCCCATTTCCCTCTTTCAATATCAAAATTAGCCACCACATTCCAGGAGCAGCTGGGTGTGCAGGGACCAGATGCATTCAGGAATGGACGCTCAGAACAAGAGTGATTCTTAACCATTTGAGGACCCCTTTTGAGAATCGAAGACCTGGAATCTCTCCATCAGAACTCGGATGTACAATCTCAGAGTATTCCTGGGCCTAGTTGTAGCTCATTCATAAACTGTACCTTCTGGGGCAGTGGATCAAGAACCTTGGCTCTGCTGTGGCAAGGCTGTAGATGGGAATAATTGAGGAAGATTTTTAATAACCACATACACTTGTATAAGCCTCAGGTGTAAGGCAGAGAATTTGGGGGATTTGCAACTGAGGGGTTTGTTTATTATTTTAGAGATCAGATTTTGAAACTATTTTTCAATTATAATCAACCATGTGGATTTTTGTGAGAATCCAATTTCATTTTAAAAACGTATTTAGCTTGCTTTTTCCTGAATTGACTTGTTCAGACATGTTAGTTCTTTTAAGATGAAGTGCTCATGTTTTAAAAATAGCCACCAGGCCCCATTCCCAGCTGGGTTCTCTGTTGGTGTTGGCTGGATAAAGAGCCCCCTGATTGGCTTGATTTGGGAATAACTTCAACCTCGTAGAAAGTAAAACAGACATGTGTTTCAACCACTGGTCCTAATGTAATTTTTTCAATGTTTGTTTGTGGAATTTATGACATCTCTGAAAATACAGAAATGACGGTGGAGGGGAATGTGTCAGTTTATGAATGTGCCATTTAACCAGATAATTGGGCAAAATTTTTACAAAAAGTATTCTCATGAGCAGTACAAAGTCAGGGATAACCATGTCCATGTGCATTTGTGTCTTTCCGTAGTGTTAGACTTTTACTGATGCTATTTCGGTCACAAAAGCCAGGAGCTACGTGGAATTGCAAGGAGGCAACTCTCCCTAGTACCTCCTGTTCACTCGGTAGTCAGAGCCGCAGGCACACAAGTCAGTTGTATTGCAAACCATACTTAATAGTATACTTAATCAATAGGTACGTGTTACAGATCAAACATTTCACAGCAGACAAAGTAACATATAACATCAAGAGAAAAGGGACAAGAAGAAGGGTTAGCAAACCAGTCCAGGGAGACTCGGAGAGCAACAAACCCACGAAGAATCCCCTGGTCTGGGCCAGGCGAGGGATCCACAGGTTTTGCAAGGAGGAGTGTTTGGTGGGGACAGAGCCTTCCCAGCAAATGCCAGGTGCTAATCACAATTGACAGCAAGACAGATCAGTTAAGATGGCCATTTTGAGCTACTGATGTCTAGCTCTTTTTATGGCCACAGAGTCCTCTGGTGAGGACTGATAGTGACAGAATGTGCTTGTTTTTGACCTTATCTGGTGGATGCAGATTTTTTTTTTTTTTTTTTCTTGAGACGGAGTTTCGCTCTTGTTACCCAGGCTGGAGTGCAATGGCTCGATCTCAGCTCACTGCAACCTCCGCCTCCTAGATTCAAGCAATTCTCCTGCCTCAGCCTCCCAGGTAGCTGGGACTGCAGGCGCGCACCACCATGCCCAGCTGATTTTTGTATTTTTAGTAGAGACAGGGTTTCACCTTGTTGACCAGGATGGTCTCGATCTCTTGACCTCGTGATCCACCCGCCTCGGCCTCCCAAAGTGCTGGGATTATAGGCGTGAGCCACCGCGCCCGGCCGCAGATTTTATTTATTAAGCATAACATCTTGTCCCTATTGGCAAAGTGCCCTATGAAATGTAAGATGGAGTTGTTTTCTAAGATGGAGTTACTCATGTCAAGGGTGCTGTATACAAGTGCTCCATCCTGTGACTTGGCATGCTTTAATCTTCAAGTTTTCTTCCTCTTTTTGGTATCTCTATCTTCACTGAGTCTACTTTGCCCTCCTGCTGGACTTGTATTATCTTGGTTCTGTTCACACTTTGTCAATTGTTCCTGTTAGAACATTCTGAGTAGTTTGTTGGAGAGGTGAGTGTAGACTGAGGTTTTGACACTAATGAAGATCCTTAGGGAAAGTGAAGGGGTGGAGGGGATAGACTGGGCTGGGTGAAGTGGGTGGCCTCAGATGAGTTTTTCCTGATGGTCTAAGATGGTGTGGATCTCACCTGTAATCCCAGGACTCTGGGAGGCCAAGGTGGGCAGATCATGAGGTCAGGAGCTCGAGACCATCCTGGCTAACACGGTGAAACCGGTCTCTACTAAAAATACAAAAAAAAATTAGCCAGGTGTGGCAGCATGCACCTATAGTCCTAGGTACCTGAGAGGCTGAGACAGGAGAATCGCTTGAAGCCAGGAGGCGGAGGTTGCCATGAGCCGAGATTGTGCCATTGTACTTCAGCCTGGGAAACAGAGCGAGACTCTCTAAAAAAAAAAAAAAAAAAAAAAAAGATGTTGTGGGCCTTAGCTCCTTAGTACACAGAACTTGTGTTTGAGCCTGATAGTGAATTCAAGTCCAGAGACCCTGATGTGTTGGAATTGCTGGTTGCATTTTACAAAGAATGGTGGACTTCCAAACTTACAGCAACCACTGCTGAAATTTACTGACATGACAGTTATGCCAGCGCCTCTAAGGTGGCAGACCTGCAGTCTCGTTCTTCTCTTTGATTTGGGGGGAATAAATGCAGACGATAGGCATATATTGGTTAAGAATGTGTTTGCCACTCTGCCTCTTCTTCTTTGCCTCAGTGACTTTGTTCTCCTTGTAGGTTATGGCCACACCGTGCCCTTGTCAGATGGGGGTAAGGCCTTCTGCATCATCTACTCCGTCATCGGCATTCCCTTCACCCTCCTGTTCCTGACAGCTGTGGTCCAGCGCATCACCGTGCACGTTACCCGCAGGCCCGTCCTCTACTTCCACATCCGCTGGGGCTTCTCCAAGCAGGTGGTGGCCATTGTCCACGCCGTGCTCCTCGGGTTTGTCACTGTGTCCTGCTTCTTTTTCATCCCAGCTGCTGTCTTCTCTGTCCTGGAGGATGACTGGAACTTCCTGGAATCCTTTTATTTTTGTTTTATTTCCCTGAGCACCATTGGCCTAGGGGATTATGTGCCTGGCGAAGGCTACAATCAAAAATTCAGAGAGCTCTATAAGATTGGGATCACGTGTGAGTATCATGGCTCCCTGCCTGCTCCTTCTGTCTCTGCTTTGCCATTGCAAGCTCCACCTCACCTCCCAGTGAGGAGTCGTTTATAAAAGTCCTGATTGCTTTCTTATTGAGAAGTTTTCTGAATTTACCACCTTCTCAATCATTTCATTTTATGATTTCCTTCAAAACTCTTTATGTAAAAATTAATTACTGAGTTACTTTTCACAGGCACCTTAAAATTACAGATCAATTTCTTACTAATAATATAGGCATTATAAATGACAGTGCCAAAATACATCATACAGCATGTACTTGATAACCAACTGTTAATTTAAAAAAAAGGATTGCTCTACTTTATTAAATATTTTAAGCCCAAGAAAACTAGGCCTCGGATAGAGCTTGTTATCAATCATGCTCTTTAATTTACCAAAAAATTCTTAAAAGAGCTCCTTACCTTATGTGTCCATCTGGTTTGTTTTCAAAGAAGTTAGACTCTCTTAACTGTTTCCAGAATTTTGCATGTGGAAAATAATATGGGCGTTAAAATTCAGATGGCCAGGAATTTATACTTTTTAGCAGTTTTCATTTTAAATTAAATATAATGTCATAGAAAAGCATTTTCAAGAAACTATTCATTTCTGTGTGAGCCTTCCTGTCCTTTTCAGGATGCACAGAATTGCAGTTATAATGTACCTACTGTTTTCATTTCTGCCTTGCCACCTTAAGAATTTTTCAGTTTATGACTTGGCTCAGATCATGTTTTCTAGGAAATCATAGTAGATACTCAGGCAGCCAGATGCTCTGTCTTGGCCCTGTCTTGTAATTCTTAACTCTACAAAATGCTTAGTTGAATTGTGTTTGACACAAAATACATGTGAAATGTATTTTGACATTTCCATTAAACCACGGGCTCAGCCAAAACAAAGACTTTTCTCATAAATCCCCAATGCTTTGAACAGTGCCTGGCTACCATACAAGTTCAACAGATTTTTTTTTTTTTTTTTTTTTTTGCCAAATGGTTACTAGGATGATTTTATATTTCCTGTAGCTACCGTAAGCATTATTTTTAGAGCTCATATGATAGTCACCAGGTGGCCATAGCATAATCCAACCATGCCTCTATTGCTCACTATTTAGGTTTCTTCTAAATCAGCGGTATTATAAATGACACTGTAGAGAACATTTTTGTATATGTACACATTTCTTACTCTGATATTCTTCCAAGAAATGAGATTGCTGGTGCAAAGTGAATACGCCTTTTTGTGACTCACAGAACATAATGGCCTGGTGCTTTCCAAATGTTGTTATGAGTTGACACTGTCATCAGCATTATCTAAGTATGACAGTTTCAGCACTCCTGTGGTGGTGTTGGCCAGTAGCATTAGAAATGTTTTGTGTGTGTGTGAGTTTCATAGCCAAGTAAACATTATCTTAACTTTCTTTTCATATAATAGGTGATTGTTTTTTATTTTATTTTGTGACTTAGGGAAGTAGAATGTTTCTGTAACTATGTTTGCAGCTACAATTTTCTTATATAAATTGTCTTCTGACTAATCCAAGAATCAGAAGACAATCTGACTATAGATTTTGATAACATTATTATGCATTTTGTATTATAAGAAACACTGAGGAAGTTAAGTGGTTGAGCAAAATTTTATTTTTTCAGTTTTTGCCTGAAACCCCCTGGGTATTTTTGTCAGCATTCAAGAGTTTGATTAAATAATAATAAAGGAAGTGGGTCACAGTGGCTCATGCCTGTCATGCTAGTACTGTGGGAGGCTGAGGTAGGCAGATCACTTGAGGCCAGGAGTTAGAGACCAGCCTGGCCAATATGGTAAAACACCATCTCTACTAAAAATACAAATATTAGCTGGAAATTACTTGAACCTGGAAGGCGGAAGTTGCAGTGAGCCGACATCATGCCACTGTACTCCAGCCTGGGTGACGGAGTGAGACTCCATCTCAAATAATAATCATAATAATAAAGGAAAAGACACAGATCCATCAATTAATCTAAATGTCATTACTATTTTTAAACTACAGGAGAGTAGATTGAATGCACGATAATGTTATCAAAATCTGTAGTCAGATTCTGAAGATACTAAAACTTTGTATTCTTGGGTTAATCAGCCTCCTTATTCCTGTTGTACTGTCAATTCTAGCTTCCCTACTTCGTACATTTTTGAAAATCTTTCTCAAATGTTTTACCACCGTGACATGAAATTGGAATTTTTGTTATTCTTGAAGCTTTCACCTTCACAATTCTGTTCCTTTTTATGATGAATTTTTTTTTTTCTGAAAACTGATTTTTAAAATGATGGAAGGAATTTTAAATCACCATTTCCCACGACAGATTCCAAGCAATAGCATTTTATCCGAGTCAACAGTTATCCTTTATTTCCTCAGTAAGAAGCTGGTAGTGGGAGCCAGTGAATAGCCCATGTGTCCAGAAATGACTGGGAAGTAATGGAGAGCTTGGCTTTGCTGCTGGATTTAGGTGCAAGTGTAGATAACCATGCACAAGGACCTATTTAATATCGACATCCATTCTTTTTTTTTTTTTTTTTTAAGACGGAGTTTCGCTCTTGTTACCCAGGCTGGAGTGCAATGGCGCGATCTCAGCTCACCGCAACCTCCACCTCCCGGGTTCAGGCAATTCTCCTGCCCCAGCCTCCTGAGTTGCTGGGATTACAGGCACGCACCACCACCATGCCCAGCTAGTTTTTTGTATTTTTAGTAGAGATGGGGTTTCACCATGTTGACCAGATGGTCTCAATCTCTTGACCTTGTGATCCACCCGCCTTGGCCTCCCACAGTGCTGGGATTACAGGCTTGAGCCACGGCACCCGGCCCGACATCCATTCTTAAATTTTTGATTTAGTTTAGTGTATTAGTCCATTTTCATGCTGCTGATAAAGACATACCTGAGACTGGGCAATGTACACAAGAAAGGATTAATGGACTTATAGTTCCACGTGGCTAGGGAAGTCTCACAATCACGGTGGAAGGCAAGGAGGAGCAAGTTACATCTTACATGGATGGCAGCAAGCAAAGAGAGAGAGAGGGTGTGCAGGGTAACTCCTCTTTTTTTTTTAAATTTGTTTTTCAATGCATGAGAGAGAGTTCTCTATATTGCCCGGGCTGGCCTCAAACACTTAGCTTTGCCTCCTCAAGCGCCACGACAGCTGGCCTAGCCACAGCAGCTCCCAGGTAGTCCTCTTTCCAAAACTGTCAGATCTCATGAGACTTATTCACTATCATGAGAACAGCAGGGGTAAGACCTGCCCCCGTGATTCAACTGCCTCCCACCAGGTCCCTCCAACAACACATGGGAATTCAAGATGAGATTTGGGTGGGGACACAGCTAAACCATAGCATTTAGACTGCAATTTATATGACTAAAATCTTATTCTGTAGTAGAAATTGTAAGAGTATTGAGTGCTTAAAAAGATATGAAGCTTTCTTCCAAGCAACCTATGATAAAACGAAAACTTTTTTAAAACATCACTGGCTTTTTGTGAATCACTGATTATAAAGCAGAGGTGTTAAGTCTTCCTTGCACGCAAGATCACACTTGGGTAAGTTCAGTATGTTGTATGTCTTTAGTAATGCCACATCAGCCCCAAGTATTTTTTTTTCCTCAAAAATTGCAACCCGTAATTCTAACGAATTCAAGTTCATAGGAGATTAAATCATTCTTTGATATATTTCACTCTTTAATGGGTAGTTCCTCTTTGAGCCATGGACTTAAAAACACTCCTAAAAATTAAAAAACTGGCAATAGTTTATTCCTTAACAGACACTGTGTTGGCACGAGGTGGGCAGGTAAGTCACTCACTACTTGATGTATCTATGTTGAGATCACACTGAGATACTCTCCCGTTTCTCACACAGGTTACCTGCTACTTGGCCTTATTGCCATGTTGGTAGTTCTGGAAACCTTCTGTGAACTCCATGAGCTGAAAAAATTCAGAAAAATGTTCTATGTGAAGAAGGACAAGGATGAGGATCAAGTGCACATCATAGAGCATGACCAGCTGTCCTTCTCCTCGATCACAGACCAGGCAGCTGGCATGAAAGAGGACCAGAAGCAAAATGAGCCTTTTGTGGCCACTCAGTCATCTGCCTGCGTGGACGGCCCTGCAAACCACTGAGGGTAGAATTTGTTGCATTATCCTAGAGCATCAGGGTCAGGGTGCAAGAAAAAGGCTTAAGTATGTTCATTTTTATCAAAACGCAAAAGCGAAAATGATGTCACTTTAAGAAATATCCACTGTTTGCAAAGTCTTATTAAACAAAAATGGAACAAAGAAGCTGTGACCCTGGCAGGATGTCTAATGTGCACCTAAAATTCATATGCGACAAAATTGCCTAGACCTTACGTAGGAAGAGAATACTTGAAGCAGTATCCTGATGGGGTTAGAAGCAGATTTTATACTTTTAACTGGAATCTTTGGGGTTTGCATTTAAATCATTTAGCTGATGGCTAAAGAGCAAAATTTAGAAGCAAAGAAAGCATAGAGATGTGTTTTATAAATAGGCTTATGTGTACTGGTTTGCATGCGCCCATCCAAAATGATTATTTTTATAGAATCTAAGTTAAACTTACTATTTATAATGCATAGGTAACCATTAACTATGTACATATAAAGTATAAATATGTTTATATTCTGTACATACGGTTTAGGTCACCAGATCCCAGTGTACTTCTTAAACCAAGATTGTAGATATTCTGTTTCTTTTGATTTCTCTTTATACAAAAGGATCTAGAGTTGCTACAATAAGGAGAATAATAAACTTAAGAGTGAAAAATCATATTATTCTGCTGCAATAAATTTCTATCCTCTTGCAATAGAATGGTGTCAGATGTCTTAACATGTTTATAAACTTCTTTTGGAATTGAACAAATTATGAATAGGATTTATAAAAAGATTAAGATACTTTATTTTGAAAGTACATTGTGGTTTGCAGCCACCTAGTACTAAAGCACAGAACTTAAACACAAATCCCTAAATGAACAGATTATGTTGCATTAATCTAGGAATTTTAAATTTAGATGCTAAAATGAACAAAAAAATCACAGTTGGTTGTAATTTTATGCTTTCATATATCAGGAGTGTGCATATATATATATATGCGTGTGTGTGTGTATGTATATATATAAAGGAATACACACACACACACACATATATATATATATGAATATATATATATATGTGTGTGTATATATATACATGAGCGAGAGATCTCTATATTGCCCAAGCTGGCCTCAAACACTTAGCTCTGCCTCCTCAAGCACCAGGACAACTGTGTGTGTATACACACACACACACACACACACACACATACACACACACATATAGATATATATATATATACACATACACACTCCTTCATGGAAAACATAAAGGTCACATTAAGTTGATGTACACAGGATACGATTAAGGATTTTAGAAGAGAAAATGAGAAAACTCCTGTGTGATCATGAAAGCTCACTGAACCTCCTAATGGAGCCTTACCTCTCATGGGTAGCTGACCAGGAGTTGATGTTTGAGGGGTTGGTAAAAATTGGTGCAAAATCAGCACCCTCTGTTGAGCCGGCCAAGCACTCTGATCGTGGGGCGGTCCTCCTGACAGTGGGTTGCTCACTCAGTAACCATCTATCTTCTGTACCATGTGCTGCCATGAGCCAATCATTACCAGCTGCAGGGCAAAGGGAAAGCTTCCCTTTTCCCTTCGGAAGGTTTGCTGAAAAATCAACTCACAAAAAAAGGCAGATTAATGAGAAAAGGCATACAGATTTATTACTACCGTGCATGCAGAAAGAATTAGAGAGTGATTGTCCCACATCTCAACGGGGGTTCAGATGCTTAAATAGCTTACTGATTAGAGGAATGGGAGATGGAAAAATGTACGTGACTTTAGAGGGAAAGTATTTTTTAGAGGAATTCAGGCGTGCTGCCCTGAAAGCATATTTCCTCCCTTTGACCATGTCTCTGCAATGGAAAACTGCTGTCATGAGGGCAGATCACTGGTTAAGGGTAGAATAGAGAATCCTTGGGGAATAGAGGGATGCATCATGGCCATAACAGGGTCTGCAAACGTTCCCGATGATCACAAAGCTTGGTGTGGTGTAAAGTCCTGAGGTGCTGATGAATGTAAATCACAGAAGCTGGATTACGCTTGGAGAGTGTTGTTCTATTTTATGCAATGCAGGAAAAAAATAAAAGGCTGGTTTGCCACAGCTGCTTGGCTCTAACATGAGAGAGAAGTTCAAAGTCCAGAATATGAGGACGTACATGAAGAAAAAATTCTGAATCAGATGTCATCAATAAGTAATAGAGTTTAGTACTTAATTTTAGGAACTGGTATGAATCCGCAGCGAACACATTAAACCTTAATGCCCTTCAAATTGTTGTTGTTAATGTGAAGGGCGAAGTAGAAAAGTAGGAGCAAGTTTTACCTCGACCCTCACTCCAGCAGGCAGGAAATGTAAGGGAGGATGTCTTCCCCAGGGTTTCTTTTTGTCTTTGGCCAATGCTGCTGCCCTTTGTTCCCCTGGGAGAAGCGAGCTTGGTGAACCAGGAGGAGCTCTGGCTCAGCCCCTCAGAGAACAGAAACAGGGCTTGCTGCAGGCATGACATGGAGGTGGCAGATGGACGGGGTAGCTAAGCCAGAACTGACATTGGAAACCCTTTAGTTGGAAGAGAGAAAATGAGAAGTTGAAGATGAAAGTAAATACTACAGGATCCTGGGTGATGAGTACAAGCTGAACTCACCTGCTTACCAGGAGCCTTCAAGACAGAGTTCCTAAGAGACCTAGGGAATATCCTCGGGGTACAACAGCAGCAGGAAGCCTTGTCGTTCCAGGGCACGGTGCTGTGTGTGAACTTAAATGTGTTGTGTCTGGTAGAGATGTTAATTTCAAAGTAGTGGATACACTCCATGGAAGGAGAGAACAGAGACTATCTCAGAGTGGGAGTTCTTAACCTTTCAGAAACCCAAAGGTGGAGAGACCAAGGGATGAAGACAGTCTTTTTTTTTTTTTTTTTTTCCCCCCCCCCCCCCTACCGCCCCACCCTGCCAAGGTAGTCTTTAAATGAATCTTGTAAAAGAGGTTCCTAGGACAGATAAAATTTGGGCCAGATCACTCCATTTATAACCCTGGTTTATTTCTATAGTAATCACACCCCTAAGATATTTTTTAAGTATTTGTTCAAAAGTTGAAGAAGAAAAGTGAGAGAAAAAATAAACATTTTCTGAAGACAGAAATTTGGTAGGACTTCAGAAAAAACAAAATCGAGTAATGTCTAGATGACTGACATGGGTTCACTTTTTATTTTTTTTTACCTGAAAAAAAAATCACACTCATACTTTCTCCAAACCAGCTTAATGGGCCTTTTGGAAAATGAATGAGGCGATACTTACAAATCTGGAGACCTCAAGATAACTGAAATCGTCAATGCAAAGCCTTTTTATCTCTTTGAAGTTATCACTAGTACACTGATCTCTTACTAAAAGCAGCCATTTGCCTCAAAGAAGAAAAGTTTTAAATTGGCACAAGCACACGTTAGAGAATCAGAATAGGATTATCTGTCTCTTATTCAGAATTCAGTCAGAGCAGAGCTTCCTGATTGTGTGGCATAATACATTTATTTTGGTATTTGTTGTTGTCAAAGCCTCCATGCTGAGAAGAGCTGTGATAAATACTGATATCCTCAATTTAGGAAGGCAGTCCCTTTAGGATGTAATTTCAGAAATGTATATATGGCAAATTTAGAAACAAAAATTTCTTAATAGCTGAAATTGAAATGAGACAGTATTTATCACTTACTTTATTAGAGTATGCCCCGTAACATTTTCAATCTATCTCTGTAGAATGTTTAAGATTTTCCTATGGTTACTTTTTTTTTTAATTCTGGAAGGGTTTTACATTGTGGAAATTTGGTGCATCCAGGCCTTTTGTGTGAGGTAAGACATAAAATTGCTGAAGTCAATTTTCCTAGTATCTCTCTTACATAATATGTACTTTCAGGCAAACCGCTTTTTGGAGTGCAGTAAGGAACCCAGAAGTAAATAAAAACGCTTTTTAAAGTATTTTTCATGTCCTGGTAGGAAAGCGCATTTAATAAGAAGGAAGCCCTCTCTTGCTTCACTCAGAGCATACACATACTTACTTCACAAAGAATTCTAATAAAATTATTACTCTGTTTTTCCAACCCACAGAAAATAAAGGAGAGAGTTGTATTAAAAGGAAAATTTCAGACAAAATTAATTCGGCAGAGTTTATCTGAACATTAAAGGACTCATGAATTAGATAGCATTCAAACCTGAAGAGGTTCAGAGAGCTTCACTCTAGCAGCAAGAGCAGCAGGGTTTTATAGGCTGAACATGCAAGCAAAGCAAAGCAACTGCTTGATTTGCTAGGGCTAAGTATTTGTCTTAATTGAGTATGATCTACTGGAAAGTCCCTGGCCTTGGTGGTGGTTTCTGACTGGTAAAGGGTATTCTTTTTCACTGTTTATGTTGAATTGAGCTTGGTTGGATTTCCTTACCTAGGAGCTGAAGGGCTCTAGGACCATCTCAGCCTAATGGAATCTCAATTATTTTAACAATTGCTACTCAAATTTTGTGTCAACATAAATGACATTACAATTTTTGACACTTTAAAAAATGTAAAGGTCTTCATATGCAACTTGGCAATAATTACTGTGCAATCACTTAGGCAGCCTTAAAATAGTAGGTAGTCTCTCAGTTCTGTAAAAGCATTTAGAGTACTTGCACCCTTCCCTAAGCATCCTGCAGCACTCAGCATCTGAGTAGAACAGTCTGACCACTGTTTTTTATACTGAGAAGGAGAAATGGTCACATCCTCTAGATGCATGACAACCTATCTTACTGAAAGCAACTTTTAACTAAGTGTGGAGCCTCACTTGCATGTTAGCATGGCAGCTCACATGCTGTTCTCAAAGTGGGTGGCACAGTGTACTCAGAGCCACAAACCACACACAGGTGGCCTAGAAAATTTTTACCAATGTGCAAAATCCACATTTTAAGCCGATTGTCAGAAACAAATGCTTGGTGCCACAAAGAAGAACTAGCAGTCACACACAAAGTTTCCTCAGCAAGGCAATTTACTTCTGCAGAAGGGTGCTGCCTGCATCAGTCACAATCACAAGAGCACACTGAACAAAGGAGAGAAGGGTTTTTATCCCTAATGCAGTTCCTGTCCCTGTGTCCTTCCCCTATTGGCTACATTGGACTGCGCCATCTAAGCTGATCCTGATTGGCTAAGGCTTGAATTTTTCTAACTATGGTTAGTGCATGATTTGTAAGAAGAGGTGGGGATGGGAATGGTCTGTCCATTGTAGTACAAGGCATATCTGGACATGTCTGGGCATAACAGGGCATGACTTGAGCAGGAGGGTTGTTTGCAGGTTGCAGACAAGAGTACAAGGAGGTTGGGCTTTTGAGCAAAGGATAAGAACATTATACAATTAAACCTTTTGAAGAGGAATTTATTATTCCTAATACAATGACAGAACATACTCGCGTCAATAGGATTACGAAGTATGAATACACACTTGTAGAAAAACATGGCTTTTCCACATTGGTAAAAATTTGTAAGTGATGCTCCAGACTTAGTTCATTCTCTTCTAGATCAGGAAAAAACCTAGAAAGGAAATATATGTAGAGAAGGGCAGCCAGTGTGTCAACAGCCCAACAAGAAAGGCGCCAGAAACCCTCCAGGGCAGACCCAGATTAAGAAGACAGGCAGGGCCAAGTGGCCTCCAAGAACCGCACATTTCTTTTGATG